AACAGGTTAGAGCTGTGTGTTAGTGCATATAAATGTGTGAGATTGTCACACTGTATGGTGAATTTAAGGAGGTGTCTGAGATAGAAAACAGCAGTTTCAGGGATATGAGTCATTGCTGCCTTTACAGTCAGTACACTGTGTGCTTTAGACTGTGAGAGTTAAAAACAAGAAACAAATCTATATACCTGCTTTGTTACCAAATATTTTCGGCCTGTTGACTATGGAAAGATTTTTCCACTCAATTCTGCCAGGTTGTGATCTGATCAACGGTAAATCGATATAAAATAAAAATGACAAAACAAAGATGACAGCATATCATTTCCTAATTCTAACTTTGTTATTCTCAAAGTAAACATTCTCATGAAGACATCATTTTACAGAACATTACCCACTGACGTAAAGCGGGACTAACAACTTTATGTGTGGAGGTCTCCCTGAAACACAGTGTGCTGTAATAAAAGTTACAGTAACTTTAAATGATCCATCACACAATACTATCAGACAGACATTTGATCATTGTCCTTAGCAACAAGATGATCAGCAAGTCCCCGATTCAGGATGGGGAGGATGCACTGAAATCCCATTTTTCTTCAAAAGTAGATGTTTAACTCCTCTCACAGTGCTCATCGTTAAGGCTTAAACTCAGGTTACCTACAGAATCTGTAGGTTATTAACTATGCTGGCACATGAAAGAAATGTACTTACATGTAAAAGGAGATTTTTATGTGGCCATCGGTACACACACATTGCTTAAAATCATACGGCACTGTGGACACTTCAAAGCTCTGAAGCCTGCATGCTCTCATCCAACAATAATTTCATCCCACAAAAGATGAAAATTGATGACAAGTGTTCTGTGGGTCTCATGTTGCCTTCTACAATTTTCTAAGTATTTGACGAGTGGTTCTTAGTTTTTTTTGTTTTAAGTTGGCCTGCTGCTAAATGAGCTGTGATGCGGTAGGATCTCTCCTTCAGCGAAGTAAAAAGAATGAAAGAAAACAAAAAGGTCTGACGGATAGACTTGGAAGACTCCAAGATCAAAACGGGTGAAACCTGACACATAATTATCAGATACCCTCCCGTTTCTGTCTCCTTCTGCTCCTTTTTATTTATTACATAAAACAACAAACACATCGATACACAATACCACATGAAAGCATACCCACTGGGGACTTACATTACATCCAAAATAGATATAAGGAATTATGTTCAACGGTCTATGTAGTGGCAGAGTAAGATGTTTTCCAAACCAAAGTTTTCATTCGCCGTTCAACTATAGTGGAGGAAGTTGAACTCTATTGTGGTTTCTTTCAAATAAAATGTCAAAACACAAAATTAACTGAAATGAACTGGAATTCTTCTCCATATTCATGCCAGAGTGACTGTACATTAACTAGTTTAAAACATATAGAGTGCTTTGTTTTGCATTACAAAGGCTTTATTGCTTAATCCACACATCAGGCTGAGATGCAAATCTATCCTATTTCTTCCTTTTATACTCCGCAAATAAAAGTCAAACAAAAGTGAAGTCGAACAAAGAGACTAGGCAAAGGCATAGAACCATTACGACGGTAACAAAAGGGAATACAAAATGCTTTCATTGGCCTCATGAAACAACTGTTTTTGCTGCAATTTCTTTACAAAATTTGCATTATGATATTGGGGTAATGTTTAGGGTATGACTAAATGTATGAATAAAAAACAGAAACAAACAAGTAGGTTGAAAACAGCCCAGAGAGGTAACAAGAGGGGCACAGTAAGCTCAAACACGCAAAACTAATTCATATGGGATAAAAAACAATCTCGTTGGAGAGCCACTTTACCTTGAGAACGCCTTGTGGCAACAAAGAGCGTCCACAGCCTCAAGATTATCCTTAATTTCCTGCAGCAGAAGACCCGGCTGTGGCACAGCTCAAACCAGTTCTCATTGCTTAATTACATACACTTGCACAGGGTCAGGAAAAGGTTTGCAATCAATTCTCTTGATCTTCATTGCATACTAGTATCTCTGCCAACACAGGGCTCTTTGTGGGAAATGGAAGCAGATTCTGATGTACTTTGTATTGTAAGATGTGGAAAGTAAGACTTGAACATGTGTCACAATAAATAATTAACTTCATAATATGTTCATCGAGATTACTGTATATTAATGGAAGGTTCCTTGAAGGTGAATACTGCAATCCAATCAATAAAAAGGCAGAGGAGGAACATACAAATCCTAAAATAATAAGCTAGGATTTAAGTCTGGTGTGTAACAGGGGGTACTCTTTGTACAGCTTTAGTTGTTTTACGAGCTGCATGTAGATGATCAGCTACTGTGTTGTTCATTTTCCACCTGTGACTTGAGCCGTTTTTTTTTTATCTAGTAATTAATTGGCAAAAATGGAGCTAAGTAAGGAAAGCTTTATCGATGGAAATGATAGGAAGAGTTACAAGAATCAAAAACACAAAATTTGGATAAATATTAAAAAGCAACAAGTGAAGAACTGAGAACTGAAAAATTCTCCTATGATCGACGGTAGGAGGGACAGCAGGTAAATCAGCAAAGACACCTTCTTATCATGGTTAGAAACTTGTAAACTAAAAGATTTAAAGTAATGAGATTGAAAGCCCCAAACCATCAAATGTAGGCATCTGAGTTTTGACTAGCCTTTGACTTGATCTTTGAATGACTTAATTCCTGTATAACATTAAAATGTTGTTATGATCATACAATCACAATGCGGTGAGCAAATGAATAATAGATCATATTTGTGCAGGTTGGAATGGGCAAAAGGGGGGACATTGGAAAACTGACTAGCAATTCAAACTTATGAAATTCAAACTTGTAAGAAACGTATCTCAAGTAAAAAAAACAAAAAAACAATCATCCATCCTCTCTCTCCCCTGTCAGAGCAAACCTGGATGGCACCCTCATCTATTTCAGCTCAACAATCACTATGTGAGTACAAAGCATGCACAGTATATTCATTTATCCTATCAAAATCACTTGAACTAAATCGTGTGCTACTTATTTTCCATCTCACACATTTTCAGACAACAAAGGACAGCCTCGTTGTGTGTATTTGTACCCCCTTTCCCCCTCCAGGTGGCTGGAGGCCTCGTAAATGGCTCCAGACGCGAGGACTCTGCCCACCATCTGACAATGATTAAGATGAAGTCTCTCTGAATGCAGGGAGAGCCTGCACACTCAATTGCTTAAACATATCTTTTCATGCAGCAAAACTAAATATGCCACCCACAAGTCTTTAGATTCAGCCTCGAGTTTCCAATCAGCCGAAAGCATCCGGTCCTATCTTAGTGTGGACATGCGTTAAGGAGTCAAGCAACAAATAATATTGAAATACCATCGATACAACACATTGACATTAGCAAAATAAAACATATTATGCAGATGCTGATCATTTTTACCTTTATGTCTAAATACTGACCTTAGAAATTCAGAAGAAGTCCATGTTTGCAAATCTGTATAACTGGTGTTTGAGTGGAATTACTTTCCAACAAACAATTTTAAGCTTAAATAAAAATAAACAGAAGTCATATTAAAACTTAGGCTCATTGTCAGGGTCTCTGCCTTCCCTTTCTTCTCATTTACACGCAGACAGACACACACACACATACAACACCCCTTTATCTATCCCCGTGTCCTTCTCCTCCACCCTGACATCTGATAGTGATTAAAGCACAGACTCAAAAACACCACTCACTTAACTCTCCTTTATTAAGTGGCTTGGAACCCCTAGCATAATTTGTTCATCTGCATGTAGAATTAAGTGACACGCCCACACAGGCCCCTGGATGTTTTCCCCCGGCAAAAAGAAACCAAGGCACATGAACACACACACACACACACACACACACACACATACCTCAATCACATGCACTCCATGCCCCTTTCCACCCTTATGCACCCATTTCAGGTCAGACTCTCATCCTGTCCAACCCCTCCCTCCATCTCCAGTCCCCTGGAACAGAACAGTCACGGCTGTGTGCACTGCTGATTAGCTAGAACCTGAACCTGAGGGAAACACTAGAAACCTCAGTGTTCTTTATTGTGTTGCCCCTTTAGGCAAAGGGAGTCTCTGACAACTTGGCTTTTGCTGTCCTATTACCTTATCTTTTACTAATGTAACCCTAACATTAAGGCAACTTTCATTGCTACTAAGGTAGCTTTTTCTTTCTTTTAAATCAACTGTCACCAAGATTCAATAGAGGAAAGGAGAGCTGAACTGAGTTGTAGATAGTAGAAAATCATCTTACAGGGTTTAAGCACTGCAGGAACATGTGAGACACGTAGCTATTGTGTGGTGCTGTACTGTTGGTCACGACTTGTGGGCTTGCAGTTAAGGATGCGTACATGGGCGTATTTAGAAAGAATAATTTTTTAATCACGAAATTTGTGAAATCTGCCAAAGATGCCTCAAAAGTTAAATTTCATATACACAGAAGACACCACACTAAACAGAAACAAACAAAACAACGTTTTAAAAAGAGCTCAATTAAATAAAAATTGCACTTAAGGGATGGCTTACTCGCAAAGAGAAATTTGCTGTCTGGAATCAGGACAAGGACATTTAGCAACTTTATAAGCAGGTGTTAGCTACACTTGGAAATAGGTGGGAAGATTGAGAAAATAGTTAAACACTACCATGTAATGCTAAATGCGCCCATAGTCAAAACAAAAATCCCTTTCTGCGGTTTTGGCATTTGCTGCAATGTGAACCTGTTACATTTTTCTCTATCATTTCATCACCATGAAATTGTTGGGATAAGAGTGGGCAGACCATATGGTACATGCATCATGAAATCTGAAGTTTTAACTCAGCTGTTAACTCCTGTGTGTGTACCATTTTACCATGTCTGCTCTTATAAGTACTTTTACTGAGCAGCGAGACCTTAAAACTTTTGAACTTGACGAAACCATGTGCTGAATTTCACAATTCAGCTTCAGGTAGGATAGCCAGGTGGATACTGGGAATTTTTTCTTTTTTTCCCCGCAGGAAGCTCAGAGGACATGGTTCAGAGGGCTCAGCTTGTAAAAACACTGCTCCCAGCATATCAGTTTGGATATAAAAGTAGTGAGCACGGTAGGCAGGATTGAACACATGCATGCATTGTACTTTGTAAGAGCAGAAATTTATAGATTTAAAAAAAATATACATATGGTAGGAATGAATAAAAAAATAACTTATTTTTATTTTTCAAGACAAAGAAATATTGGGGTTTTCAGTGAGTGAGTGATGCTTCCTGCACAGAGCCCTAATGCTTTGCTGATGTGATAAGCTGTGAGTTTGTGTGACCTAATATGTAGTCATCTGCTTCGTAGTGTTTTGGCCTGGAACCTGCAGGGGCCTGTTATGGACATCTGGTCCCTCTTGGACTCTCCTACTCTAAATTCTAAATTTATTCCCCAATTTGTTTCTTGCTTTCCCCTGATCTGGCAGACCTGATGCACCGTTGGCCATCTGTTTTTTTCTTCTTTTTTTTTTAAAGATCACTTTATTAAATCTACAGACAGCAGCCCACCTCCAACAGAATCTGGCATGATTCAAGATGTAACTTTTACTTCTTCTTTCCATTTACCTTTATCTACTTCCTGCCAGTGGATTCAAATTAAACTCTTCGTCTGAAAACAACCCACAAAGGAGCCGAGACCATCTCATCGCTTCAAGAGATGTCCAAGAGGAACAGATTTTCCCCCGGCCAGACATCATCAATAAGGTGATGCAATGATCCACACTGTCACACAAGACACGACACAAAGACTCCCAGAGGCCAGCTTCACACTGTAACTGCCATTTGAGATGGATATGTATGAATGCACCAGATATGCAAGTGAAGAAACAGGCCCACTCCAGATTTGATTTCATATGCATCAGATTCAATATCTTAGGAGTTAAATTAAATTTGGTATCAATCAGATTTAATTTCTGTGGAATTACAACTTTGGAAAACATATTGATGAGCCCATCATGAATTTATCTCTCATGGGAAGGTGGTGTCTGCACATGCAATGTGGATGCGATTTCAGCCAGGCTGGTATCAGTGATAGGACACAAAGCAGTACATTTGCAGCAGCACATTTGCTACTCATCTGTCCAGAGGCAGAACTAGATACGGAGAGACAGGTAGAGGCAAACAGAAGGAATAATAGCAGCCTGAGTCCTCTAAGTTTAGTTCAACACATAATAAACCATGTTATAAATAAAGGAAACAGATATAAAGATCTGCACAGGTACCTGGCCTAATTTAATGTGTGTTGAGATCTGGACGACTTATATAAGGTTAGTCTTAAACTATTTGATTTTAAAAATTAAATTGTTTTAGATTTGATTGAGTCTGGTGTGTTTTGCTGTTACTATGTAGCCCCGTGTTAACATATGCACGGGACACCAAAACGCTCGTGTGTTTTAGACATCCTGTCTTTAAAGAAGGAAGTGAGAGTTTTCCATCCCAGTCTGACCTTTAACCTGTGAGACATTCTTGGAAAATTAATAACAAAGGCACAGCTTGAAGTAATTTGGTGCGCATATTGTCCACCCCCCCCAAAATTGACACTTGATGCCACTGTCTATCAGGAGTAACTGACTTTGCCTTACCCTGTTATTCTATGTCTAATTAAAACGGTGCAAAATAAATATCCAGCCAACCATCATGCAGGTATTGGTCCCAATAAAAGGTTTTAGAAGTCAGATGCAGTCTAGCCTGAAAAGTTTACAATTTTATCAACGACGATTGCTCTTAGGCAAATATTTCTCCTGTCACAGGAGGAATGGCACCTCAAAGGAGACACCGTGGAAATTGGGGGGTCTCTGGTTCGGGGGGCAGCAAGATGAAATTGTCCTAAAGTGAATCCAGATGGTTATCATTCTTTCCTCAGACCCTTTTTCTCCTCTGTCGTTCACTCATCACCCCATCATGTCCCCCCTTTTCTTCTCCCTTTGAGGAAACTACAGGGCTGGTGATTACCTTCTTGGTAAGAGTCGAGCCAAACCAAACACCAGAAGACAGAGTTGGTTCCACAAAATAAAGAGCAGCCTCACAGTTCAAAGGAAAATTCCATGAGCTAAAGCTTCCTCTTGGCTTAACATTCAGGTGTTTGAAATGCTGTTTTACAAAAAAAATCATTATAAATATCTAACAAGAGATCTTAAAATCACCAAATGTTTGTAAGAGCGTAGAAAAGCCAACTGCAGGGAACAGTCTAAATGCACAATGCTCCAAAAAAGGGTGTACATTCACATAACATAGAATGGAAATAAAGGAGTGGTTGAGCAATTAGACCTGCTTGAATTAGAGCGGTAAAAGAAAAACAGCCAAACCGTGAGATCAGAAACTGGCTTATGGCGTGTTTTCTTATCCACCCTGTGGGACAAAGGGCTGAACTGATCCTGTGAACATTAATCAGCCTAATAAATCATCACTCAAGCATGCTTTATACCATAAACCTACATGTTCTGCTTAGTGCATTAATATGACCAGCAGCTTGTTTGTTTGATTCACTTGTTTATTAATTCATTTACTTATTCATCTATTCCCATTGGGAGTTACTGATATCATAATGATGAAGTTGAAAAAAAAAAATCCCTTTTTTCTGAAGGTGCAAACATTACATGTTTGTCACAACCCTGAAAAAATAAGGGAAACACCAATGAAGGAGTGGCCTGAGCGAAGAACGAAGAATAAGAAGCCAATATCAGGTGAAGAGGAAGCCCTTCAAGTGGATACCCTACCTCTCACACATGTGGCAGCTGAGTGATCCTGAATGGGAAAAAAGACGACTAGAGATCATTAGAGTTTGTTTGCCAAAAGTTCCTCCCTAAGAGAAAGTAATGGGACATTTTTTAGTTGGTTAAGATAGCAAGATGGTGCAGTGGAACGATTTGGTTCTAAAAAAATATATAAGAAATTGTGTGATGTCGCCATCAACTGCTGTAAAAAAAAAAAACACTAAGATGAAGCTAAGAACCTGTGCTGCTTTAGATGATCGATTAAATGTGACGCTAATGCTACCGGGCTGTGTTGGGTAATATGATGCTTCACTATCCCACTGGCAGAGATTGACAAACACACTGACGAACAACAAAAACTGACACCTCACACACACTTCAGGGCAGATATTGCTGTACACTGACTATCTATTTGACATCGTCCTCATCATTCTTTTAGTGCTTTCAGCGTCTTTTACCTCCGTAGGCAAATCGTCTGTAAGATTTTATTTTGTGCTCACGCACGGTACTGACTAAATAATTGTCAAGAAATATATATATATATATATAAGTATACATATGCATATGAATACCATGTGCATAAGTGAATATCGCCTTAAAATTAACATTGTGTGATGTGAAAGGCTGACAAGGCATGAATGAGGGGACATTCTTGTTTGAACAAATCAAAGAAGAAAAGGCAATACATCACTGCTTCCATCTAAAGACACACATGTCCAACTCATCAATGCTTCAGAGGACGACCTGATGATATCCATGTGTGTGTGGAGAGACAAACACAGACACCAAAGCATGAACTTGAGACACTTAAGAATCAAATTAGGACAAAATTATGAGGATAAACTTAGAAAAACAACACAGTCTTTTTGAATGTGATGACATATAATTCCAGAAATATTAAACTCTGCATGCCCATGTCAGCAAGCTCTGTGTGAAGATTAAGTGTACAGAATCTATGGGGTGATTTGTGAGGGCTGAGTGGCTACAACACATACCACTTGGACACAATGTCAAGTGGCAAGTGCTTGAGCCTGTGGACTCACTGTAAGTAACTCGCCTGTTCTCCATCCACTGTTTCCTATCCGCCTTAACTTTCCTTCATAACAACAGTAAAAACAAGGGGGGAAAAGTATTACTTACCCCAAATGCACTGGGATATTAATTTAGATAAATAGATAGATAGATAAATAGATAAATAGATAAATAGATAAATAGATAGATAGGTGAAGAGGTGTGGGAGGTTAGGTGATCTCCAAACCTATTTCACACATAATTAAGGTAGGCAATAATTTTCCTGTAGTTGATTTTCCTTGTTTCTTTAAGGAGGAAAGAGCCTGGAAATCGAGGCACGCTGATAAATGTGCGCCACATGGATGAGCGGTTATTTAGTGGGACAGCCTGTTTATTATCCCAGATCTATAACCTTTGAGGAATTTTCAAGGGCTGTGAACTCCAGAATATTTGTTTGGGATTTCAGGTAAAGATAAATGCTGCGCCATCTCAATATATCAAACTGACACTGTAATTAAAAAGAGAGTAAGACCTTCAAGAAGACGGCCTCAGGCTCTGGGATCTATATCTCTTTTTGATCATTATCAGCTCCATCCCAAAGTTATGGAAACGGACGTTAGAGGAACCCGACTGTATCATAAAGCTATTACCCAACTATTTGAGCTTTAATATCTTTGATTCTCAAAGTATATTCAACTCCAATGAAGAATGATTGACCACTTATTAGCATCAAGACATTTGCAAATAAATGAATACGCCACATGACAACAAGGTCTTGCACTTGAAACCTTATGAGGGCTGAATGTGCATAAATGTCCCACAGGAACATATTCTATTCAGATATGGGTGTATTTTCCTGGTGTTTCTCTGCTCTGATTTTGACAGACGTCATAGTAAATCAATCAGATTTCACATGACAGCTGATGTAACTGGATTTTTCTCATCTAGGCCATGTACACGTACCCTTTTGAATATTCCTCTCTGTCAGCTTTTCCCTCTTCATCTCCTCTCTCCAGACAGACTTAAATTGAGTTTGTTTTTGGCAAATTTGCTATTCTTGGCATGAGGATTAAGCCGTAGCAATGTGATCTGAATTTCCAGCAGTCAGTGTCAGACAACTCATCTCACATCACGAGGAGTCTGACAGCATTAGGTGTCTAAATTGCTCTCCCCACCCGTCTCTCACACGCGTTCTGTGTACCCAGAGAGGACCACAAACGAGGGAAGCCTTCTGTTTTCGGCTGCAACGCGAAACTCAATTACACAACCAATTTAGAATGTGGTCGTTTCTCACGTTTGTGCGAAGTGCTCCTGACCTAAATAAGTAAGACGCTCAAAGTGAGGCAAAAAACAACTGCAAACAATTCATGGACTGACAGACAAGGGAAACAGCTCTCTCTCTCTCACACACACACACACACACATCTGGACCAGTGCTTCACTCACTCAAAGTTGCTGAGTGTTTTCCTGCATGGCCCTGCTGCCTTACTGCCCCCAGACCCCTCAGATGAGGTAAGATTTTTGGAGCCCCAGTATTGTGCCATCTGGACAGACAGACATTTTCACATGCTTGCTCATGAACACACACACACACACACACATACACACACACAGATATAGTCTTGTCATAACCCACACTGACAAACACCTGGACCTGGTTACTGGACTCAGAGGGAGAGCGAACACTGTGTGCATGCCTGTGAATATGAGTGGGGTGCATGGGGAATACAAGGCTGTAGGTTATTCAGCGCTGGAGGCTGTGTTGTTCACTTTTTCGTTTTCCTTTTCTGTGCCCTGTGCCCCACAAAGCCCAATCCACTACTAAAAGAGATCACCAGAGGGTTGCTACTCCAATATGTAAACTGTATCCCAATCAAACATGCATGGGATGTTCTGGTGTCGCTATACTTTATCAAATTTAGAAACTTAAAAACCTTCGAATATGTGTATGAACACACATAAATTACAAGTTTCCACACATGGGACTTTGCTAAATGAAATCTTGCAATTAATTTACGAGTGATGTAGACATGACCATGAATCAGAGTGGTACAGTGACTAAAGATATCGATCAGTGAGATCGACACAAACGCGATCAGGATTAGGGAAGCATCGCTGATCAATATCTGGAGGTAAATTTTCGCCTCAGCTCTCCTCCAGTCGGTTTCCTTTTTCTTTTTTTTTAGTGTTGCAGAACCAAATCAGTTAAATAAATCTCAATTCAATAAATAAGTTAGCGCCATGCGCAAATAACGCACACATACATTGAAGTTTTCTCCGTGACTGTGAGCACTCCGTCTAAAAAGTGGACAAACGGAGCCAACTACGCCAAACCCACCGCCCCCCCTCCTTCAGTTTTGTTTGTTTCACTCTCTCTTACTTGACTGTCTACTAACCTCGCGATGCATGCGCCTTTCTTCTCTGGACTGAGGGGAATGTTGCTGGTCCGGGCGCAGATGTGGATCGATGCGATTCCACGCCGAAATTGCAGCTTTTCTTTTTTGGACCCGTCTCTCTCTTTGCCATGGACGGAGTGTGGAATTACGGGCTCCAGGGCACATGCTTATAAAGGGCACCCCGCTTCTTTGGTTGTTCTACTCCACCATGAGGATTCCATCACACAGAGTCAACGAGGGGAAACCAGATGGAAAATTAGCACAAACCTTATTATCTATAGTTGTGTTGTTGTTGTTTGTTTTGTTTTTTCATTCTAAGAGTGTATGTTGCATATATTCTAAGGCTGGCTTTTTAATCTAAATGACTAATCTCAATGAATAATTTTACCATGTAGGCTATGTATATATATATCAAATTAATGAAAAACATAAAACTGATATAAAATCATTCACTATCTCCACACCCAACCTGGTCTTTCCCGTTCTCTGTCTCTTTTGACATGTGTTACCGATATGTTACGGTGCAAATCTCACAATAATCTGCTGTTCTATGAGTTGAAATAATACAGGAAGTTTAATATAACAAGATTGTATTACACCAACAAACATTATAGCATAGATAAAGAAACACAGGATTCGGGGGGTTGAAATTAACAGGATATATTAAACCAAATAGACCAATTTTTGTAGTTCCAAAGACAGTTCTGCAGGATTATATAGAGTATCTTTTTTATTTTTATAAATAAGGTTTATCAGTCACACACAGTAAAAAGACTGATTTTAAGTAAAAATGTCAGTTGCTGTTGTTTACTCTAGTGATAGGGTACCAAAACAAAATAAGCCAACTAAATCCAGCAGGGATTATGAAAAGTAAATACTGGCATGGGTGGTTTGTAGACAATCAAGCAGACACAAAATAATGAAAATAACAACAATGATAAAAACGACACACATAAAGAGAGGAACATACCCTCCAACCCTTTAGAAGTCCCTGAAAAATAGAAATAATAACCCAAAAGTTAAATATTTATATTCAGATCAGACATTTTTTGCCTTGTCTAAACAATATATACTGCACAGTTGACTCACCACCATCCTCCCTGCAGGTCAGAAAGAAGTAAACACTGCTCTGAAGCATAGGGAAGAATCTGCTTTTTCTAGAATCTGTTTTTAATCAGAAATGCTGCAAATATTTTTTTTGACAATTATGTTTCAAGCTAAAGAAAAAGAAAAAGAAATGTGACACAAAAGCTATTTGGCATATTACCCATAGAATCAACACATTAAAATTCCCAACTGATCGCATACTGGTACATGGTCTCAGGCCTCTACACTCTGGGTGTACCTGATTAGGCATTAAATGTAATTAGTCAAGGCTAGACAAAAAGCAGAAGCCTGCAGAATTCTGAAATAATCATTTGTAATTCCATCGTTCACATTAAAAACTGAGGATTTCACAGCCTAAACCCAGTCACAAATAGAAAAAAGACACTTTGTTTACATCTCATCAAGGCAGCCAATAAAGTGGCAAGAATGCAAACTAGGGTCAAATTTGGGAAAGGAATAAAGATACCTAACTGTTATTGTGTTATCGTTCAAATTCTTACAGTCTAAACCCCACGGGAACAAGGCAAATGCTTTACATTGACGTTTTCACCAGTAAAGTAAAGACGCTGGACATTCAGGCCCTGCTGCTACAGGCTCAAGTGAATGGTTCTTCCTCTATACGTTCCAGTTCACCTTCAAGTGCCATTTTGAGGGGGATGAACATAACTTAAATTACATTTTTAAATTACAATTTCAGTCTGATAGCTCGTTATCTCACATACTTAGTCAAATCTGAATTGTCAAAAAAAAGACATTTTTTTTAAACATCTGAAACTTTTTCCTATATATGCTAATAACTTGAAATCTTTTTTATGTTTGTTTCAGGATTAAAATAGAATACAGATTACAAATGCCTGCATAGGCATTAAGCACTGATAACCGGTTTATAACATAACTATGCATGTGTTGTTTTGTTAATTATTATAATGTATGATATTAGTTTTAAAACGGTAAAACAGAAAAGTGACAGTCTCACTGTTCATGCACTTATGCATGTGTTACCCAACTGAGTAACATATTCTTTGCATCCTCAGACAGTAAAACTATCACAAACCAACATGGTGCATGATATTCAAAGTAAAGTGATATGGATGTACAGGAATGAGCTTTGGCTGAGTTTTATGTGTAGGGGTAAAGTCCATAATAAGAAAAGAACTGTGACAAGGGTCCAAGCTTCAAATCTTCAGTGTGTGAGCATGTTTCTGGCAAAGAGGCTTGTCCTTCTTGGAGAAGAAAGTCCGGCCCTCAAGAGTGGTACAGCACACCTGAGAAGAGCCCAACACACACACATTTACACATATAACCATATTTAAATAATGTCAATGTTAAACTTCCAACATGAGAATGAAATCAAGAGTGTGTTAGCTCAGTGTTGGACTGAGTTTACCGTAATATTTAGTTTGACTGTCACTTACAGCACAAACAAAGCAGGTGTCATGCCAAGTGTAACCAAGGGCCTCAAGAAATTTGTCTCCAGCCTCGATGGGGAACTCACAACCATGACAGCCAGTCCCAAATAAACTGTAAAAGTCTTGTAAAAACAAAGACAGACAGAGAACATCAACATCTGTCAGTGTTTCCAGTAATAATAAAAAAGACAAATCAAACATAATTTCATCATTATAACTGTACATAGTTTATGGGAGTTAAACAACTTTTTCAAATTGAAAATAAAAACCCTAATCAGTCAGTTTGTAAAACACTGCAACAATAGCCGTCCTGATTGCTGGTTTAGATTTTGGGGTGAACAATATCAACCAGCCCAACTAGTACTAGAATTTAAAAGTAAAAACAAAAATAGTAAAAACAAATAAAAAATATTGATTTGTTTACTCTAAACAGATCATGTTATCAGATCCTATAGCGGTTTGTTCCTGCAGCTTGAAGCATAATATAATCTTTATAAAAGTGGGTTCATTACGCTTTGTAGAACAGGGAAATCAGAGGAACAAGAGGGGATGATGACTCACACAAGTCCACAAACCAACATGACTGAGAGCCCCTCGGGAACCAGCAAAATATTTGACCCCATAATAAAACTAAGGAGGGTGTAACATGTGTCTCCCTTTCAGTCCTTGTCTGACATAGCACAGCTGACTTTTGATTAATTGTGTATGTCAGAATGGAGTGCCTTTCAATTGTCCAAGTGACCCATTGCACAGCTACAATATCCTCTCTGCAGATCTCAATTACATTAAATCAAAGATTGAAAAATGTTAATATGTAATGTAATACGTGTAATGTCACTACACGGGGGGGTGGGGTTAAGGCTTGATTACTTCTAATAATTAATTTAATCCATTATTCATACCCACTCATAGTTTATTTCTGCTGAAGCGGGGTATGCCCCTCACAAGCTGCCAGTTGTTCACACAATTCACACTCACATTCTCACCTACCGCCAATTTCAGAAGACTAAGTACCGTGCTCACCACTGTAGCACTGTGCTGCCAATATCAATGATATTTAATTGATTAATGCATCAAATGACTGAACAGATAATTGTTAACATGAAGAAACTGAAATATTATTGATAAGGAAACTGACTGTATATAATTACTCATGTTTAAACAATATGTTACAGATGAGCCACGACAATTATTATTCATGGGTCTGATATTATATATTAAGTGTATAATTTTAGCAGATGTCAGGAACTATGATCATTTTATAAGTGTTTTTAACTGCAGCGTGTGAAACTGTAGTGTTTTGTTTGTTTCAATTAAAGATAAGATACCCATAGCTCATGGTCAGAACTGTTCTGAGACAACTGCAATTACTGGAACAAGGAGGTGCAAATATGGGTACTGCAGGTGCCTCTTTATCACTGACCTTGCTCACAGTATGGTTCTCCATCCTCCAGGTGGAAAGTGTTGTTCCTGATCGGCTGCTGACAAGCAACACACATGAAGCAGTAGACGTGCCAACTCTGTTTGAGGGCATTTATCACCTCCTGAATTCAAATGGGATGAAAATGAACTACTTCATTATTGAATATATTTTGGTTTTCAGCTTCTTTTGGAGATGAAAACCACAAATCTTAGAATAATCTTCAAATATTAGATTATCTCAGAGTAAATAGCACAATATTGTCTCTGGAAGGAAATTGTGAAGAAAAGAATCTCTGTAATTAGCATTGGCATGACATTGCCACCCAACCCTTTTATTTCTCATGTCAGTGTGCCCGTTTTTTCGCATGAAGTCACATAAGCTTGGAATACTTTGATTGTTTTTTAACCCCAGCCCTAAACTATGAGAACAAGATAGGGAAGGGAATCCATAGAAAGTTGGTGGGTGAAATGAAGGATTAGGAAGCCAGATGGTGAGAAAAAAGGTTAATCAGACGCCATAAGCTGGTTGAAGATGTGTGAAAACTAGAGGGTTGAAAGGAACTGAGGCGAAATAGGTTAGAACATGTGAGAGAAGAATGTCAGAGCTGCTATAAGAGGAGTGATTTGGGTTTTTTGACACTTCAGACCACACCTGCAGCCTTTATTCCTCTAAGCCTAATTCCTTTAACATCTAAGCATTTAATGCATGGCTGAGTTTCAGTGGTGGTCACTGTATATTTCTTGCCCTTTGGGTTTAGACAAATACCCCAGAAAGAATATAAAAAAGTTGCTAAGACTGTGGTATTTTGCTTATAATGTGTAAAATCTACATCTTTTAAAGAGATTACATTTATTTTTCAATACTTGCACTACTGAAGAAAGGAGGCATAAAACAGAACCAATAGTCATGTAGTTTTAAATTGCTGACTTCAGGTGCTGTATGTCAATAATACTCATATTTAGGATCTTCTAATTATCATCATGCTTCTTGTTTCTTGTTATCATGTTTCTCTCCATCATGCTGGCCCAATTCGAAAAGGAACAAGACTGATATGTGGTTCATTTAGAAGTCGGCCTTGTGTAAGAACAAATTTGGAACCTGACATAGAAAACATTTTAGAATGCTTAAGGTCTATCAATACCACACAATTGTTTGGGAAATTGTGGCAAAAAGGAGAAAACACAAAAAAAAGACAGTATAAATAAGAGTGTGTGACAGACACAGAGGAGAAGGGCCTTTGGTCACCAAACAACAGGTGGTCTTGTGTCAGAGCAGAGGGGACAGTGTCAAGTCATTTATAGCTAAACATGAAGTGATTGTTCCAGACAAAGTATCTGGACATGTGGTTCTTACATAGTACTCATCTCTCTCTTTCCATAATGGAAGTTGCAGCTCTGTCTTTCTTTTCACACGTCAACTCACCCCAAGTATTTTGGCCTGGCAGCGGCTGCATGTTGGAGCGAAAAACTCTTCATAGCAGTGTTCACAGTACACAGACCCATTTTCCTCCACAAATCCGACATCTGCCAGGGACGTGCGGCAGTGGGCACAGTTAAACTCCTCTTTATGCCATGATTTCCCCATTGCAACCAAAAACGGCCCCCTGAAAAAATACACAGTTAAAGGTTAACCGGAAAAGTTTAAAAGAAAATATATTAAAAAAACATATAGAAAGTTATTTGACTGACACAGTTCAAATACAATACATATAAATATATTTATATATTTATTTGTATATACATATATATACACACACACACACCTATATACACATATAAACTGTATATAGATGTATACAGCAAACATTAGATTGTCCTAAACCAACACAACCTGCAATCTCAAAATAAAATATAATAGGTACACATGGATCATTCAGGTAATCTTATTATTATTCTTAAACTGTATGATCATCAGAAGCATGGTTGTGTGTATTTTGCATTTTAACTGTGTCAGTCAAATAACTTTATGGAGCACATGTTAGAAATCTAGCACTGTGACGATTATCCTGGTTCCGCTCAAACAGCACCTAGGGCCTGTCTATTCTGATGATTAAGTAAAGTGGGAGGACAAGAGATTTCTTTACTGAGCACAATAGGTATGCTTATCTGAGGTTGCTCTGACAGTGGCCCAAGCTGTCACATATTAGCATGTGAGAAACCCAATCCTGGGTGACATGCAATGCTAGGTGACACAATTGGAGATAACACTCAAGCCCCAGATGAAGGCAGGAAAAAGGAAGAGAGCTTTACTCTGATGTAACACGTGAAACATGTGTTAGGCTCAGCTATTCTTAGTCAAATTTGTGACGTTGAAATATTTTGTTTCCATGACATCAGACAGTTCACAATCCACATTCAAAAGAAATCAGATCTGAACAATGTTTACATATCACACTCACATTGAAAACATTCAACTGACTTTAAGCGGGATGCTGAAGAAAATAGCTTTATTTTGTGCACATTTGAGATCTTCTGGCTTGAAAAGCTGGAAAATTGGCTTGGAAAACTACAGCATTTATATTAGCAGGGTTGAAGAAGTGAAGGTAAATATATCAGAACACTCCTAACCAAGTCATGGGTCTGATTAGATATTTTTGAATGATTTAAAGCCTACAAGCTAAAACTTGAAATTACTAAAGAACTCTATTTAAGTTATAATCCTAAATGTGTTGGAAAAAAAGCAAAAAAGCAACACTTAATATAAGAAAATGTGGGAACTGGGTGGTTACTTATTTTATGAAAATTAGAATACAATCACACATTGCTTTATTGAAAACTGACAGTCCAGACTGCTACGGGTATTATCAAATAAAAGTTAAATAACCTGATGTGAGCAAGAACATTTGCCCCTCACCTGATGACCATGTTACAGTGGGCACACATTGGTGTCCGTGTCCCAGCAGGGATATGTTCTGCCATCTGGACCAAGGTGTCCTCATCTTTAGGATGGGGCTGAGGCACGGGTCGGGCTGGAACAGGACCCCGCGGGACACTGGCACAGCTTTTACCCTTCATTCCGAAAGATGGAGTGATCAAACCAGTCTGTTGACTACGGCCTGCAGGAAGTTGAACATACAAACAGACACATGGAGACATAGATGGAAAAAGAGAAAACACAAGTAATTTCACAAACTTGAGCACTGTGAGTGTAATAAGTGATGGCATTATGTGTGTTCTACCCTGGTTAGTAAGTTATTTGATCTCTGGCCTCTTGGACTACACGCCCAGCAGGTGTCATAGTGCGACATGCAGTTGGCAGACTACTGTTGTCACAACCATGGATCCATCACATCAATCTTGGGACAGACACTGAATTTTTCTACTTTCAACACATTCCTATGAGCCATGTGCATCCATACACATGACCAAGCACACAGACCACCAAGACATTCCATCTGCAAAAATCCAGACACCTGGCTAAACATGTAGTTTGGCCTTTGAGCTCCACATCACAAATGGAAATGATGGTGTTTTTGGGTGTGTCATTTTGGAGGTAGAATTGGGAGCTTGACCTAACAGTTGAATTTCATGCTTAAGTGTGTCTCGTAGGAAAAAAACAGAGCTGGATTAGGTAGGATAGGCCATACCTTTCATTTAAAAAAGAAGAGGCTTAAGTTAACTCACATTTAGAACAACAAAATTAGGCTAGAAAGCCTTTAGATGAGATATGTATGATTTTTTTTGTTAAAAGACGAGTGCCAAACAACACTTTCCTGCAAAAGGCTTTTATATATTTGATAAAAATCCTACATGGGACCATTGCTTATAGCTGAAGGGGGAACAATATAACCACCAGTACATTTTCATGAGCCTTGGTCCCTTGACAATTGACTGTCTATTTTTTTGCTGAGCTGAAGATCCATCAGTGGCATAAGAAGAGCAGAGAATGGGTGTTTTTAAAGATCGAAAGGCTGAAAAGCTGAAGGCATGGTTAGCAAAAAGAACTGAACAGAATAATACACAGAAGCAGGCATTTACTTAGCACAAGCATTGTTGGGTGCAGCTCTGCTCTTTGCTTTTAAATTTGTATTCATAGCTCACCAAGAGGTCCACTCAATAAATATTATCTTTCTCAAAAGCAGAGCTGCTATGCATGCGATGAAGCAAGGTGCAACAGTCAAATTTGAGTCTGCTTATGGCTTTCCACAATGGAAAAACACAAGAAAAAGAAAAGAGACTTTGCAATGACCTACTTCACAACACATGTAAAGTCGCAACCATGGAAAATAAGAGTTTTCCCTTTGCTAACTGGCTGTAACAACATTCAACCCAATCATCACTATGCTAGAATTGAGAGGCATTTGCTGCTGTCTGTAAAAGAAGAAGAACTTTTTCTTTGGACTTAAAATATATTTTGTTCTTAAATTCATTTAACAGTCTTAAAAAAAATATTGCTTGTTTTTGATAGAAATATTCTTGAAATTGTACTTGAGAGCAACATGCAATAGCTCAATAGTTTGACAGTTTTCTTTAATTTGGCAAAATATTCATTGTGTTATTCTTAGGTTTTCATGCATTCTTGGCATTAGGATAAACTTGTTTTACCTACTGGAATCCATTTTGCTGCTTTAAATGTAGCTTCACACAATTAATATCATCTAGGGTTTATATAGACGGCAGGCAATACATGTATCTGGTGCCCTCTTAAAGTGCCATTGAATGCATGTTTCATTGAAGAACAATCAAGTATATCATAAGCCAACAAAAGAGAGCTCACAGTGTTTACCCTGGATTGGAGAAGTTCCTTTGATCATAGTCTTGACAACAGCAGTCTCGTGGGAGTTGAGCTCAGGTTCCTCACTCTCCTCACTGCACAGATGGACAGAGAGAAACACACATTTCATTCAAATATATGAACAATATAATGTGCTTCTGTGATCAATCTCATAATAAGAACTGTGAAACTAACCCCATCAAATGTAAATCTCTTACCAACAATGCTTGGATTGCAATATACTTACTAACTTAGCCTGAGTGAAGGCCCAGGTTTGACAGCTCACTATGAATAGAAACATGGAAAATGCACCTGTGCAATTCAATTTCTCTAGGTCAAGCCAAAGTACAAACAGAAACACTCCAGACTGTGTCCCTGCTGACAGACCAGAAATGGTGGGGTACCAACCAAAACACAGACTTCATCCACAGCCGAACAGTACAGTACTCATTTTTTAGCTTATGAGTACAGTACAGTTGCCCATGTGCCACATTCAAAACACAGTTTGATCCAAGACTACACTTTTGTTGATAGATTGGAGAAGTATATGTTTCTGTATTCCTATTAATAAATGTATGGAATAATGGGGAGGTATAAAGGTTAAAACGTTTATATTACAAATGCTCTTTGAGCAATTGTGTTGATACAACAGTGTTTGAAGGGAAATCAGTCATTTTGTCAGGTTATAGAATAACATTTCAGAGCCATCTGAATATATTTCTGTCTGTAGTTACCATTAAAGAGAGTAAGAATGTTTCTTCCCATTAATCAACTGACTTCCTGAGACTACAAACTCTCATCTTCCCCTAAAAATTATGCCAAAAAAAGACTTTGATAGCATCAGGAGTATGCATGTGTACTTATTTGCATGCACATTTTAATGAACACCAACAGAGAAGCTTGGGTGGGCCAAAAAGGTCTACCCAGAAAAATTGCAGCCACAATGCATAGTTTTAGCTGATGCCAATAGTTGGATCACTGCAACCTCCCCCCTGTGCTGGGCTATTAGGGGACTCGTGGTTGACAAGTGTTATGGCAACTGCAGTCATAGCTACATTGAGTTGTGCTTGTGTGTTTTTGCAAGTGAGACAGAAAGAGTGAAAGGAAAAGCACTAACTAGAGGACTCGGAGCAAAGAGAAAATATGAACCAAACTGCCCCACAAATACAGACAAAGATATATAAAGAAAAAAGTGTAACTATTTTGTATGACTTGACTCTAAAGATACATGTTGATTCAACAATCCTAATAGCCTCTTATTGGACATAAAGAATGTGGACACACTCAAATAGAATAAAGTCACCCAGAGACTGCAGCTAAACTAGGAAAGTTACATTTGTAGAGGTGGAAAATAGTAATGGAACAGCATTAGAAGATTGTGAGAGAGGTGAGAGCAGAGAAGAAACTCCATCTTTCCCTTAAGACACTGACCGCAGTGACAGGATGAGGAAACAATGGGCAGCCCTATTCTGTTACAGACTGATCGCACACATCCTACACTTTTCTATTTGAGAGAGACAAAATTCACAAAGACCCAAGAACTGATAAAGATAAGAGACAGAGATATTTACTGTCAAAGTGGAATTCATATATCCATTGAAATAGGTCTTTTTTTCTGTCAAACCTAAACCGGTTTTAAACTCTGAAAACCTTAATCGTGGCAAATAAATCATATAAGAGCTTGCTGAATAATATTCACTGCTGTGAGCAGCAGACTCACAGCTACAGCTCTGTGGAGTGACATGGATTGTGATAAATGCACCCAGACGACTGTTGAGTTAGCATCGATTTTATCTGACCAATCTATAGGCTGTACAGTGATTTGGAAGGGAAAAGGCTGTCAGGCCGCGGAACATAGATCTTCATTCTCATTATGAGCTTATCAATTTGTATATCATGTGTCTGGCAACAGGAGCCACTGGATGTGCCTCATATCGACTTCTGGTATCTACAGCCACAAACAAAAGTGTGCTTCAATATAAACAACATATTTACTAAATTATCTTTCTTAATTATTACTCCTTAAATGTTCATAGTCAAACGTCATCACTTCAGTTGCTGTATATGACTTTTATGCAGGGATTCTGAAAATATAGCAAGGCATCTGGGTAATTAATCTTACAATGAATATGTCTGGTTGTTCATCACAAGCCACAATGTGGGGATCTCTGCACATCATCCCAGGACAAGTGAGCAAACCAATGCTGCAGCAAAGCACAAAGGCATAAAAAGTACATTGCGCGAATAAATAAGAAGGCTGTATGTTTGTTTCCTAAATTTGATATACTGTTTGCTTTAGATGGAGAAATCAGCAGCCATCAGTTTGACAAACAGAACAGCCCTGAAAGGAACAGGAACAGGAACAGCCTCATCCTGATCATGCTATAAGGTTATTAAGACTGTAGAGTCATCTATTCCAATTATCTTGGCCAACATGTTAGAAATCATTCATTCATATTGGCTGTGGTAATTGGCTAATGACAGGTGACAAATAGAGAAGGAAATAAGAAGCTCCACAGTCCGTCATTCATTAGAACCTATTACAGTGCAGCTCATTAATATTCTCCACCAATCAGGCAAATTACATGTGAAGCTGATTGTATTCTGCTTGACTGTGATTGATTTTACAGAGGGCTTTGCTGTTGGTGATTCAGTTGTTGCTGGTTAATGCTGACCATCTGGCCACATATGAAACCTGTAAACAGTGAGGGTCTGAAGAAAAGAGGAGGAGAAATGTGGGTGCAATCTTTTGACTTTTACGTTTTTGTTTTGTGATCCACTGCTCTTCATACTATAAGCAAGCAGAACCTTGAATTCCATAATCATAAAAAGTAACAGCGCATGATCCCTGGTATTCATCTGCATTTCTTCTGCAGTTCATGTTTGTCTTTTCTGAAGTTTATTCTAAGGATCATCATCTATAGCTTTTCTGTTTGTTAGTATTGAGTAATAATGAAGGAAAATATAGTTTGTTTACATATGTAAAGTAACCCCTTTTGTACCGTAGCTTCAAAACGAACTGTTATTCTGTATGTCATAAATGTGATGGTTCCATCTGAGTGTTGCACAAATGGTCCATTAACATGGCTGACTGCAGTCCATAAGCTCACCCTACCACACAACAGATGGTCTATCATTTTTCTACTGCAATATTTGGATGAAATTCAGTCCTCACACACTTCATCATCAATGCATGTGCATTCACACTCATTCTATGTTAAAGTCACCCATCCATATACACACCCACTCAAAATATTACACGCACACAAAGTTTTTATAATTCACAGTTTGAATGTTTACAGTTGTCTACTAACCAGTGACTGATCTCTATGAGTTGCTGCCAAGTTGTTTTATAGTGACCACAGAATGTCATAGTTGTCTTGAACGGTCGCCACAGAGACATATGGACCGTGTCTCTTGGTGCTGGCATGCTCTGAATAAATATGTCTTTTTCCATGGCCATGAATTGCATGTTCAGCGGATTGAAGGCCCCTCTTTATGTTTCAGTTTAAAAACTAAGTACACATCATTCTCCAAAATATTTATTATGTATTAAAATGACTTTGTGATGAGAATGAATGGCCTGACTCTTGACCTTAGAACAGAGAAATAACAACAATAAAAAAAATGTGTCATCAAGTAGTGAGTTTGGGAGAGCTGTGTGCATCATGTATTATAATAATATTTGTCATATGTAAGATGGATGATTGTAAAACTATTTAGGATGCCGACATGGAACAAAACACATTGAATACAATTGATTGGAAGAAATACTATGAACATTTTTGAGAACATGGATTTCATTTACAGTCTATTTTGTTTAAAAACGCAGGCTTAAGCAAGCTTTGTCTAAATCTGCTGCAAAAAGGTGTAAATACATTGGTGCTATAATTCAAACTTGAAATGATCATAATCATTTCAGAGAAAAGCATGCAAAAAATCTTTCTCATGAACATTATTTACCTTGGATGTACTGGACTGGGGGTTTAAGGGTGCTGGGAATGAGGAAATGGGGGCAGGGAGCTTCTTTGGGAAGGAAGTCAAAAGCATTTTGTTGTAAGAGCACTAGTGTGAATGTCATTGTCTCCAGTAGCCCAGCTGTGAATGAAGTGTAACAACATGTTTTCTAAGTATAAACTAATCCGTAGATCACTCAAACGCTCATTGCGTTCGATTACTCGTGTACCTGACTAGTTTGGTTTATAGTGTCTCAGGACTCCATCAGTGATTGATGAATGTGACCTTGATGTTAAAATCTAGGAGGTGAGGTTAGATACTACCCTTTAATCAACTTGAAACCTTGTGTGTGCTCCTTGTATCAAAACTGATGTGAAGCACCTGAGCTGAACTGAGCACAACAGTAAATTCATTTTCCATGTGTTTGCTGCCATCTACTGCTGCAGAACGAAAGAGACACTTTCAAACACAACAGTAATCTCGACTTTGTTTAATTATTGCAAATAATTATACGATTTATAGGGTTATTTGAATATATCTGAATATATTTTACTCTTCAGCAGTGTGCAGATCAAAGGTCAGGGGAGCAGCTGTATTATGGAAAAGAAATGCCTTTGTGCTGGAACAGACTAGCAGGTTGCTGGACTCTGGAGGCTGAGAGGCCTTGGCCTAATTTCCAGCTATACGCCAAAGGTATCAACATTTGAGTAAATTAACAAATTTAACAAAACATTAAGGGAGATTCCAAACATATGCTGGGGTAATGTCACTGATGATTGGATGACTTTTCACTTGATCTTGGTTGCATGAGAGACTATCAGGACTGGAAGTCATGATGAGGTTTTGGACTATTACGTTCCTCCTAAGCAGTGGAGATCAGCTGTGGGGCCTTCAGTCCATTACTGAGGTTTGTCAAAGCGTGCACATGTGCTCTTTACAATATTCTGCCACTGATCATTGGTAGTGAATCAGCAGCTAGTTCAGAAACTTGGTGCACTGGAGTGTCCCTGGCAGATAACAGATTGCTGAGAGCAGTGTTAATTAATTACCAGCTATGAGTGTTTATGTGTGCTTTGCATCAATAAATAAAACCAGAAGTTGATGTTTTTAGTGGAGTCAAGTGTGAAGTGGAAAACTATATTAACACAACACTAAGGGAGAGTCAGTGTTATGTTTGGCTGATTTGGTTTGCAATTTGACAAAAGATATGTACACAAGTTTTTTAAGATAGTGTCAAGGAACAAAGTTTGATGAAGATTAAGTGGAATTATGGTAATAAGTGTCAAATGTAGATATAGATATAGAATCAGATATAAAATGGGAAAGAGTAAAGGGATTTTGAAAATAAAGGAGATAGGAAAGGATCAAAGAAAAGAAAGAAGGAAGAAGCCACCAATTTATCAGCTAGATAAATTACATTTATTAACTCAGATATAGAATTTTTAGAACACTAAAAATAAAGATTCAAGCTTTTCGAAACACAAGTTTGGCAGTCAAAAGGAGTTATTGCGATAAAATGAATGAGTTTCTGCTTTCAACAAATGGAAAGGCACATCAAAAATATGTTTTCATAGCAAGCACTTTAGACATTACAATATCACCACTAAAAGCTTTATCATAAAAAAATAACCTTCCTTTCTTGGAAGTTAATGTCTTCAACCAGCAGAATGGCATGTAATATATTGGTTAGTTTTCTGACAGCCATTTCTGATAGAATATAAAATAGTTTACAGACAGGTTTAGATAAATACCACAAATAAAATAGATGTAAACAAGCCATTACCCATTTGAAAAAGTGTTTCTTATGACATTCACTTTTTCATTTTTCAGGGATTTAATAAACAGTCTCGAGCCATCAAATCACAAATCCATTTCCACTACATGCTGTGCTACAGCTCAGTGATACAGATAACAACAGCAAACAGTGTAGTGCTGCCAGTCATTTGTTTGTCGCATTTAGCAGATTGTTTGTGCACTCACACAAAAATAATGTTGCTTAATTACACATTTAAATGTTTTATGTATCATTTATAAGTTGTGTAACAGAAAAAGAATGTCTATTGAATGATTAATAATATCCTGTTTTCCTACCTTTTCAAATGTCCCTGAGAACATGTTCTGTGCTAATTCAGAGCTGTGGATTTGCAGCCATACATCATCATTTTTTTTCATTGTTTCCATTTGTTAAAAGGTTCTCTGAACCCCACACCTTGAGAAGGGTGAAAATATTGTAATTAAGACACATAAATCCCACCAGTGGTTGGAAGTAGCAAAACACTTTTTATGTATCTGTACTTTAAAAAATAACTTTTTTTCCTGACAACCTTGAACTCTGCTAAAACCCATTAAATTCAACGACCTATATTTTCATGATGCTTGTTATCTTTGTTTTACCAAATCTTATGAGACTTGTCTATTTATTTTATTTGAATCATTGTGAACTTTTTCCATTTCAGGATGTACAGATTATGGACTGAATTATTTAGAAATGGCCACAGTATCTACTACAGTATCTACATGACACGTCAGAGATAAAACGGTGTCATATGATAGAAAAAATCAATTTGACTCAAAATCTGCATTTCATGATGAGAGCCCATAATTCCGATGATACACCATGAAAAACATTACAGAAATGTCAACACATGTTGGATTTATTGGTCATGTGTGATTTGAATATATGTCATTCCTCAGAGGTATAACAACATTATTCTTAAGTTAAGTAAACTATAAAAGTGTTGGACAAAATGTGTTGTTTATAGTATCTAAACAAAAGAAAAAGACAATCTAGTTATAATTTTCCATAAGGAAAAGGAACAGTCAAACTATTTTTTGCAATTAATTTAGACACAAGTTTACAGACCAGATTTAGGAGAATCTAAACAATCACTTGACCACGATGTCATCAACTATAGAGGAACCAGCTTCTCTGGTCCAGACTTGAGCATACTGTAGTTTAATGACGCTAATGTGAATATTCTGGACAAAAAAACCCAGATGGCTTTAGAGAGAGGAAATGTAACCATCTATATCGAACTAGAAATAGGGAGCTGGTGGCCTGAGGGACCACCTAAATCATCCGTGACCCATATGTTTCACTTACAAATGACCCGCACTCATCTCATCATCTCCACAAGAGGCTGAAAACTCAAAACTCTGAACCAGACATGACTGGATATCTACACAGACAGTCCACTGTGATGAGGCCGTGGGGGGGACATAACACCACGCATGAAGACACAAAGAACTCTCACTCTATTATTATTGCCCTAACTTCTTTTACTTTTTTATTTTACAAGATTTTATCTTCTCAGCTGTCAAAGGCTCAAATGATGACCAAAATCTCTGTCAAATGCCCAATACTCAAAGTTTACTGGACATTGAGGGTGCGAGCAGACACTCCATGGTGCCAGTTTCTTAGCTCGTTGTACTTGGGGCCCATCACCAACCGAGTAGTGGTCCTGTGTCCCGTGTCAATCAGCACAAGTTGAGAAAAGTAAAAGGGGAGAAGAAGATAAGAACAAAAATGTCACAGAGAGAATAATTATCCTGCAAACTACAATCAAATGCACTATAAGCCATGCCACAAGGAGAGAAGCTTTTACAGATGAGAAGCTGATGATACAAAGGATAGAATTCTTTTTTTTTAATAGACACAACAAACCAAGCAGGATGGAATTCCCACAAAACAGAATTGTCCTGTCCTGGCAATGAATCAAGATCAGAATTGGCCGAATGAATGATGAGTTAATCTGATTATGAAGCCACAAGCCAAAGAAACAAATATGTTAGCATGGGTCCACAGGGGCAAAACGATGATCAAATGCATCACTACAAACTGTGAAGAGCAACAGGACGAATCACAAAAGAGTCAGACAACCGCTGAGATGCTTCTGACAGATACATAATAACAGCGAACACAGCATGCTGTCAGAGCCACAAAATAATAACAAGTTCAACAAGTTCATACACACACTTCTTCTGATAAACAAAGACTGAGACACTCTCTGCCGCAGAACAAATCAATACTAGCCTTCAGTATTGCTAAAAAAATGTTTTTTTTCATTCATTTAAAGTGCGACATACTACAGGAGAAACAAGTCTGGCTTTTGACTTAATGGATCAAATGGGATCCCTGCTTGGCAGTCTAGACAGGAAGAGCTCACACAGCATAACTGTAATTGCTAGGATTATAGCACAAACACAAAGTAAGTTTTTCTGTTTGCTTCATAAATGAAGACTTGCGTCATAGACATCTGACCGAGCAGAGTAAATGAAATAACGGTAAAAAAATAAGAAAATTATGTTTCGTCAATGGTATGTGTTATTCCACACATGCACAACAGCGAATGTAACGCAAGTTTTTAAGAGGAGCACTTACTTTGTTTTCTTGGATGTGTCTGCATCCTCATTTTGGACTGAAAAGGAAAGAAGAGCAAAAATAATAAATGTTTTATAAAGAAAAAGACACCACAGCACTAACCATTTTAAAAGACACATAACGTAATAAACATAATTCTGGTGTTTGGTCAGTAGTCCAGGTACAACAAGTACCTGTATGTGTTCACACTTTGTGTTATTACATGCTGGTTTTGTACCGTTCTCAGTGCCGGTGATCTGGGCCAGAATCCTGAAGGACCGGGACTGGGTGGTTCCTGTGCGTGGGCGCCAGTCCTCCGTATCCTCCATGATGCGTTTTCTGCTTGCATCGGCATGAGTGGGTACATGGTAGAAATGAATGTCTGTGTCCACAATATGTGTCCTGGGAGTTCTAAGAAGAGACCAGTGAAAGAATGAAGCGTATCAGTCAACACAAAATGTAAATACTGTACTGCTCCCAAAGCCCAATTAGCTGATTCACATATGAAGGTTTTTCTTTCAGTTTTAGGAGGTTAATTTGAATTATGAATGTCAAATTCACACACAATCAATGAACCTATTTTTTCTGGATGATTATTGGATGACTGCTTTATTTGGGATGATATATTATTAATTGAAAACAATGGGGAAAGCTCACATCACACTCTGTTACAGGTTTTTGGTGTGATAGTTGAAACTAAAGTGATACCTTGGAAGTTGTTGAAGGGGTTTTCTTGGAATTGTTAGAGGAAAACAGAGCAAGAGAAAGTACGACATGCATCAAAATCGAGTAAAAACAACATGAAATTGCAGCATTCCTAAGGTTCTGCAAGTACTTACTTCAAAATACTTTGAGGTCCACTAATGGAGAGATTTAGAAAGCGGAAACAGAAACAGAGACAGAAACAGTGGAAACAGGCACGTTGTGAGCAATTACTAACAGGAAATGGTTTCCAGTTTTTAAAAGCGGTGAGAGTTTTAGAGGTAGAGAAATAAAGATTTGTTTCATCAAATCCATCTGCCATTTCATTTACAAATAAGAGCAACACAATTCAGACACATAAACAAAATAATCAGCTTATGTCAAAGCTATTTTCTTTTCTTTTTTTTTCTTTTTTTCCTTCTCAAAACTATTTTCAACCACATGGTGGCGCCTTTGAACTGTTTGAATTCATGGTTCATCATTGGGACAGTTTGGGGGAAAAAAACATAATTCTGAGTTTTTTTGTTTTAAAAAATACTGAATACTGAACGTGCATTTTCATTTTGATAAGTGTGACACATTATGGTCTCAATATTTCTGTTTGCATGCGTGCAAGGTCAGTAAAGAGTGAGAGGGAAGCATACATACCTGTGGTAAAAACTGGGTGTCAATTATTCAAGTGGCATGATAAATATACACAAACATAAATCAAACACAAATGTTTTTTCATGCCCTGCTATCAATTAATCACCTAAAAACACTCACCCAGCGAATTGATCATTCTGATTTATGAGTCTGTCAACACATTCTTGTGACAGCAGCAGTGATGTGGATAGTGCAGTGTTGAAGGGTCTATGTGAATGTCGTCCCACATGTACAACGATAGTAGAAATATCTGACGATAAAATGTCTATTTATGAAGGGGTGGGGGTTGGGGTGTGAACTACTCCATCAATATCCATAAATCAGAGTTATTGTTGTGGTGAAAACGTACTGCAACCTAACAAAAATCTGATTCAGCAACTGTACTTTTGGAAGCTTTTAATCAGAGGTATGTATGCTCTAGCTATTGCACCATCTATAGAAAGAATGATGACATAGGCATTATTATTAAAAAAAAACATTTTGAAGAAGGAGTATTAAAAGCAGATGGCTCAAAAGCCCCAAAATGAGGACCCTATGTTACCAGGCTGAATACAGTAAACTATGTTGAGTAAAAGCATGCACAGAGCTGTGAAAGTATCAAAGGAAAAAGAGTTAGTCAAACACACAACAAGCTTCAGACACTAACTTTGTGACTGGAGTAGATGCTGCAGTCTGCAGAGCAGAAAAAACAAAGATGGGTAGAAAGAGAAATCGATAGAGAACATTGGCGTACAAGCATATGCATCTTTACAGTCAAGAAAATCTTACAATGTGATCCAGATTCCCCTCTGAAACAAACTACGCATCATGCAGAAAAAAAGGAAGCAAGACTCAAGAACGAATACACATGCTGTAAGGTCCAGGCAGCAATGTAAATGAAGTCATTCACACAATTCCTGTAATGAATCTCCTGAAGAAAAACGGTTGATAACTTAATTTTCAGAGTAACCTTCAAATATCATACGCCTATATTTAATGGAACCCACATCACACAAGATGCATAAAGATGCATGGAAAAATGGCCTTTATTTCGGCAAAAGTACATAAAAGCAAAGTGATACCGAAAAAAAAGAAAATTGGATCAAAATAGGGATGTTTGAGTTGATAAAGCAATATATTCTTATATAATTGGTCAAGAAATATAATCTGTGGTATTTATCAACCAGGGAATGCTGCTTCTATGTCTGTGTTGTGTTACTGTGCGCAACTGCTTGGTGTAAGATTACTGCATGTTATGCAGATCATTGGTGTCCCCTGAAACGAAGAGAGTAACCCTCAGTAGTTTCACAAAGTGTGTATAAAACACATCAATTTAAAGTGATTTGAGATAATAAGAGATTTTTCTCAGTTGCTATGGTAACAGCCAGATTAGCGTCTGCATGTTTGTTTGCTTTTTAACAACATCTGAAAAGATTAAATGAAACAACTGTCATGGAAGTCAAATTGTTTGGTTGGGATGTAGGAAAACCAAACACTCACATGTCTTGACTAGCTGGACTAGTATAATGTTTTATTTAATCTGAATTTAAAATGAACCCACAATGATTCTTGCCAATTTAACCAGTTAAGTAAATGACACATTGACAGATATATTTATTCCTCAAAGATGATGGTATTTACTTCAAACACTCAAACAGGCTCTCTCAGAAAGTTTTTTTTTTTCCATTATATGTCTCCTTCAAGTCTCTAAAGCATTGCTCGTGTGTAAATCTATATGGATTTAAGCCTGAAACCTTTACCCACTGACTGATTTGCAACATGAGCAAAGAGAATGCCACACAGCTTAAGTTACCAACACAGGCTATATATACACAGCGGAGTGGCATCATATCATAGTTATACGCACTATGACTAAGAAGAACTGTTGTTGTGACAGAAAAAAGATGGAGGTGAGCCTAGTATCTCAATATAGTGAGATAGGAAAAGGCAGCTTAGGTATGAAGGATAGCACAGGCTTTTAAAAAAATTCTAAGGCTCTCTTCAAACAGTCTGCATCTGGATAATCCAAGTTTAGAGGAGATGCATTCGCAAATTATTAGGGACGAAAGCAGAGGAGTGACATGTGTGGTTAAGGGTAGAATCTCTCCTCTCAAATGCTTTTGGCCACAAATGTGTTCAACGTGTCATGCTGTCCACAGATGTCCAACCTTTACAACAAATACCTACAGCCGAGTGTTCCATTTCAAATTCTTGTGATGAAATGGAACCAACGGACTGAACCAAGAACATAGTTTTACCATGTATCACTTGGTTAATTCAAGCATGTTCACATGAATTTGACTTGCAATAACTAATCTACTAAGTTTATGTTTCTTTGCTCCATGATAATTTAAATTCCGATTATAATTTCAAAGAGTGCAAAGACTTTTCTTGATTTTACAACATAGTCATTTCCAAAATATATCTAGCTTGTCAGAGACATGCAAACTGTGCATGTTGATTGAAAACTGTAAAAAGTATTAAAAAGGATAAACTTAAGTGATTCATATTTTTTTCTATTCATACAGGTCAGCATTAAGAGAAATAATAAAAGAAGTGAAGGATTCCTTGAATAATAGAAGTCGGCCCCATAGACCGCAGACATAGCTTTTGGCAGATTTAACTATATTTCTTTTCAAATTAGGTTAAGAGGTATTACTTTAAAGTAGGATACTTTAAAACACTGAGCCTATTTGTTCTGTCTCAGACAGGCTTAACACGTTCAACTGAAGACCGGACAAGACAGAAAATCAAACCACTGTGTGAATAACCAGAATGAAATACAGCCGCAGCTGAATGAAGGACCACGATTTTTTATATAGTGTTTGTTTTTTGTTTTTTTTTCTCAACAGAAAATCTTGAAAGTTAGATCATGATTTTTATCAAATAGAAAAAGCCCTTCTTTGAAAAAATAATATCTTTGAAATCGTAATATACAAAGCAATATATCATTTTTAAATATGTGATTGTAATTATACCAGATGCAGTTATACCAAAAAATAAGACAGAAAGGCAAAAGGTGTTGTCAGATTTTCAATGGACTAAATTGCGGGGCGTAAAAGAACACCAAGAACGGATTAAACGGTTTGCGAGGCCACCACTCACCCATTAAACTGAAGTGGTAGGGCTCCACCCTGACTCTCCAAGAGTCCTCGCCTCTGCCCCATGGCCACCTCACACGCATTCTCAGTGGAGTACAGGTTGATTGGTGTGTTGTACACCGATGGCTGAGGCGGGACGAGGACAGGGGGTGACGAGGAGGCAGAGGATGGGTGAGAGAGCGGAGGTGGGGACAGGGGAGGACTGGCGTGGGACGAGGCGGGGGTAAAGGCGGACGATGGGGAGGGAATTACGGTGGCAAAAGGGGGCTGTGAAGGAGCGTATTCGCTTTCTGACCTGCAGTCCCCGTAAGGCCTGGGGGCCTTGTTGCAGGGGCCAGAGGTGTGCAGGTAGAAATGGGGCGGGAGAGGGGGGTGGGTGATGGCAACTGGTTTTATGATGTCTGATCTGTCGGCCTACCGGTGTGAGAAAAAAAACAAAGCATGCAGAAACACAACGACAATTCAAATCAAAGCAGCTATACTGGTGTTTCCCAGGTTGTGATGTGTGTATACTGTATGTGGCCACCCAATGTCATTAGTCTAAACAACAGCAGTTTAAATGAAGGCAATCTTCTCGTTTTTATCATTTTTTTTGGGGGGAGTGGATGGATGGGAAACATCAGTATTTCACAGCTAAAAAAATCATTCCAAATATATTAAGGCATGCAAAAACAAAACAAACAAACAAACAAAAAACATAAAATTGTTTCAGAAGGGTGTAATTGAATATCTAAAATAAGTACATGGCACTCCAGGGAACTTACTGCACATTTGTCATTGTTATCAGTTGAATTCTCAAGTGATCAGTTGTCATAGTAACTCAGCAAAAAATATCTACACCAAATGGCTGATGTTAATCCATAAAATATATCTAATTTACTCTATCAGATCAAAGGATTTCTCAAACTAATCCCAATGAAAATTGTTATGAATGATTTTATGATCAACTGGTGTGCCTTGCCTTATCTAGCAGAAGTTTTTTCTCAGTTGGTCAATGGAAATATTTTCACAGTACCTTTGGCGCCACAGGAGGGGGTTTAGGAACACTTGAGGCCCTGGAAAGAAAGAAGAGTGCATGATTTATAGTTGTCAAGAACTCTTTCTTTAAAAAAAAAGACAATTCACCTTTGAAAAAAAGTGACTGCGAGCCAGTGCCATATGGGTAAAATTACAAAAGCTCCTCCAAAGTGTTTACTGATATTTATGAAGACCATTCAGTCTATATTTTTTTAGATCTCTCTGAGGTTTTAAAAAAAAAAAGTGGTTATGGTGAATTACGACTAAACCTTGGCGCTCAGCATGAAACCAACATGCAGAGGTTTCTGTCATCAGCAATGACAGGATACAAAAGAGGCTCACTGGGTCTGTGTGTCAAACAAAGAAATTTGAGTTGCTGTTGCTGGATAAAAGTTAAATGTATTTTTCAAGCAGTAGTTTTTATAGTTTAAGAGCCAAGGTCAATGTTATCCTTTTGGTGGTTGAATCTCCCATTACCTCTTTCAGCCACAATCCCTCCAAAACAGCAACATAGAATCTTTCATGAAACTACTAACACTTGTAAGTGATAATGGCTCTGCTCTTTGTAATCATTTTTCCCGAGATAATTTTTCACCTTTTGACACCGTGTTTGGTGAACAGCCTGTTTTATAGTGTCAATAATACCATATAGTACTTTATTAGCACTAAAAGAAACTTAAACACATGCTGGTAAACTCCAAACTGAGTGCATGATCTAAGAAGCTCCCTCATTATCACCTGAAACCAGTCACGCAACAAACGAGTAAAAGCAGCTCGGCAGTGAAGTGCTCTGCAACTTGATCGAGCATGCTGTTGGGGGTAAAAATGAGATAACATAAATTAAAGGCTAAGTAAACTGAGTAGTAACTGAAGACATGCAAATGTCAGCAGCCTTGCATTCCTTTTAGAGCAACCCCTCCAGAAACTTCCTCAGGGAGCTGCATGTCCTTCACTTCGGTAAATTTAAAACCAACACTTTTGTTGTGGTTAGAAACACATCAGTCTGCAGACACTCGCTTGGCCTTTTCTGTCAGCCCCTTGCTCCCCGATGCTTTGGTAACTGCATACTGAGACTCTGACCATGCTCGTTTAATATCAGACCAGATCTTTATATGTTATATTTATAGAGCTGAATCCTAAAAAGCACTGGGGAACTTTGGGACAATATGATAATGTACCAGAACATTCCAATATTAACCCCGATAAAGACGTCACTCCAAATATGTCACAGCCATGTGAAGAGCATTTTCATTCCAATAATCCGAATAAGGTCAGATTCAGAATAAGTAATAAAAGAAGTGGGGTAATCCAATGTGTACAGGACAATTTGACAGAGTTTTCACAGGGTTTAGCCACACCTCCAGAGTGGTCAAGTGTGCTTGTTCTGACTAACATAAATATGAACCGAAGAAGCCTTTCAGATGAGGGCTGAAACATCCAAGAAGTCCAGTTTACTCAAGTTGTAAGGATTGTTGTGGAGGAGGAGGTAACATTGTGTTATTTACATAAAGGACAGAAGATTGCTTTCCACGTACGCAGCTAACCAAAAAGACCCCAAAAACATCAAAATAGTTAATCTGACTGAGACTACACACCTCATCTTTCTGGCTTTCTCACTTTGACATCTGTATTCCTGCCCTGTAGGTTTCCATGGACAAACTATGCCATAAATAGCCCACCAAGTACCCAGAGCTTATCTGAGGATAGCTCTCACTTGCAGAACCGAGGACATGGAAATATGTGTGGCAGATGTAGTACGCAGGGAAAGACTGGGTTATCAAGAAGCTATTTCAAATATGACTCAGTCATCCCTGTGTGGCATTGCCTCGATTACACAGCAGCTATAAATGGCTAACACCAAGATGGAAATGTGTCCTGATCATATGTTAAGCTGAGAAGAGTCTTGTTTACCTCAGAGGGTTTTCTGAAAATTTCCCTCGGAGTAATTGTATATGTGCAAATAAGAAAATCAGATTTTTTTCATTTTGAGAATTGTTATAAACAATGCATAAAAAAGAGAACTTTACTCTTTGATGGACACAAGAGTTTCTCCTCAATTAAGTAAGTTCATAGACTGACAGTGTGACACATGTCAGTCTTTGTATTACCTCCTGCACACTAAATGGAAACACCAGTTGGCCTGAAAAGTGAATCTGAATGTGTTTCTATGAAGATCCAACAGTTTAAAGATGCTGTGACAAATCGCGCCTCTGCTCCCCACCTGTGCCTATGCAACTCTGCCTGTTTCAAGTTAAGCGTGAAGGTCAACATGTCTGTTTTTCCTTTCCTCTTTTTCATGTTCATGGAATTATATAACAGAATGGGTGGTTTGTTTTGTCTCCATATCTTCAGGAAGTCTGTCAGAAAAAAACACATTTTTATTGCATTTTAAACTTAACCACATCATTCTATGATAATTTCCCATGTGGTTATCATTTCTTGAAGGTGCAAAGTATCAAAAGTCTGTATGCTGTTGTTGTCATCTTGGTTTGAGGACAATAGTGCACTGGCAATGTTGTTTTCAATAAAGTCTTTGCACTCTTTTATGAAGAATTTAAGAAGTGTGTATCACAGAGTTGTAAAATATAAAAAACAATCAATTAAGTGCTAATGCTGCCAACGTTCCTCTGCTCAATGTTTTCTTTGCCTGCTTTTTAGCACAGCTTCATGAATGGGAGACTGACCCAAACATTTGCATAGTTGGAGAGTTAGCAATAGGCGCAGTGCACTTTGGTGCAATATCTTTTGGCTTTATCTTGTCATCCATAATGAACCCTTTTAAAGCTACAAATGCCATTGTGGTAATCCTATGTTCTTTGTTGAGTATTTCAGTGTAATCTCTCCATTGTATTTTGACTCAAATGACATCACTGAGCAATGTTTCCAGGGTTGTGGTTCAGTGTGCCATCAGCTTCTGCAGCCTGAAACCTAAAACACTCAGTCAATATAAAAACCCGTCGGTCAATTATCAGTGCATGAATACAGAAATATAATTCAGATTACTTTAGTTATCAAATATTCCAGTATTTCCCTAGAATATTTTAGACTTAAAACTACACGAATTTAATAAATAAGTAAATATTTTCTATAGAAAATACGTTCTTAATAGTGGAGAATGTAGTAAAAAAATTTACATTCAATTAATTCTAAAATATGAAAAACTTTGCATGGTCCACAAACTGCCAATATACTGTGACAGTAGACACATCAACCTAAAAGTGAATCAATGTGTAACATTTTTTCTTAAAGCAAAAAACTGTCTTCATGAAAAAGATGAAAACACATAGAAAACCAATCTGTTTTTACCAACTAAATACACTCTGTTTTGCCTCCAAAGTAAGTTTTAACGGTGTGTGCTGCCACTGGGATGACAGAATCCTTCGAAAAGTGAATGGACAAAGGCTAGTTAACATTCAGACCAGCTCATACAGAGACTGATGTAGAGCGTAGGGGTGGTGACGGTGGTTACAGGCCTTCCAGATGTGTCCATGCTTCTGGTGGCATTGTGCAATAACACAAGCTAAAAGGATCAGTTTATTCATTTTATAGCATCTGAACCGCAAAAGGCTTCCATAAACGTAAATGCACACAAATACCAACACACACACATGTATACACAGTAAATCCATCCAAGTTTATTTTTAGATTTAACGCACCTTGAACATTCCTGAATTTTTCTGTAACTCATTTTTTAACTTCTTCTGGAGAATCATGGATTTACAAACGATTTGTCTTGTTGAATTATTAGCTGGCAGACTATGAATATTTAAAGTGCTTTTCACTGCTGTCAACTGTGGAAGGAGAGATTATATCCACTGGGAAGTCAAAGTATTTGGATAATAATTGTGGTATTTAAAAACACTTAAATGAAATCTTTTTACAGTCTATTTCCTTGTTTAAATTTTCAAACTTCTGATTTTTTAAATGAACTTAACATTTCAAAGCAAAGGACACACTTCCCCTATTCTCAGGACTTTGGTTTCTTAGTATTTATCTTCAGACACGACTGACACAACCTCGAGCCATTAACTCAAATCATATCTGTTTTATTGAGAAAAACAACAGTATATGAAAAGATTAAGCGTCTTCATTACTTTTTCCATCTTTCCTCCTCCGAATTTTTCCATCTACTCTTGTCCCATCTTTGTTTTACTTATCCTGTTTCCCTCCAGACATGTTCTTTCCTGCCTCTCCTGCAGTTGGAATGATGTCACCCTTCTTTAAACAAAAGTGATAATGATTAAAACCCAAAACATCTCAAATGTATGCAATCGTCATTCCTGAAGGTCAGAAACAAGCTCACAGCGCTCCAGAATTAATTGAGTTTTCTTGCCTTATCGGGGAAAAACTGAGAAAATGTGGCTGGCTTTGTTTTAGACTTTCTTTCTGTTTTACCTTAAACTAAAGCAGACAGATCAATGTAACTCGGAGAAAATGTCATGGCAACACAAAGAATGTAGCTGGCAGAACTTGTGCCACATGTGTGTTTTTGTAAGTGAGTTCATGTGGTCATGACTTCACAAACGGAAAATCAGTTGTCATGAATAAACAAGAACTATTACTGTAAAGTGATTAAATCCAACCAACTGCGTTAACCACCATTTCAAGATTTATGCCATTGGTTTAACGTTGAATGAATGTTCTTTAAATAGATCTGGAAGCTCAGTCTGCTTGTCATCATCAATCTTCACGTTACCAGAGGACCAAAAGGAAATGGAGTGCTGTGGTGTCATAGGTCTGCATTTTATGTTGTGTTTATGTGTGTGTATGTGTGGCCTCCTGACCACGGAAATGTATCTGTGTACAAGAGTGTTTTTTGTGATCCCCCACATTCCTTATCCACTACGTCTCAAACTTATCTTGACACAGGCCATGATAGGTCTTTCAGCTGAGAATTGCATCACATTAAATCCTAAAAGAGGCTTTGACACTGACCAGACCAAAGGAAAAAACGATGTTAAAACTGCTTCACCCTCCTTCCAATAACATTACTCACTTAAGTAAACCGAGTGAGACAAAAATAAAAAAACTGTACAGTATCTTTGACCAATCATGGGAAC